AAAATTTCCAGGTATGATTTAGGGAAAAAACAATGCTACAATGATAATTTTAGAAGCTATAACTCTGTTAGCCAAGTGTGTAAATAAACTTGAATTAAACATACACGTCCTACTTATGTGAACATCTAGGTTCCTACAAGAATTTGTACCATCAACAACTGAGCACCCTGGAAATATTTGACATCTTGCCTCTACAGATTTGTTGTTTGCCATCTAGTCAGTGCTTAATGGCAGGCATCTAAAGCCAGAAAAACTAGTAGAAAACAAGGTTAAAAAGGAGTATATATGCAAGCTATCAGGTGCTATTGCTACTTCTGAGAGCAGGGACATAATCCAAATAATTTTAAGAGAAGTTGTGATCTAATTAATTGATGTTATTCTAACATAACAGCTGTGTTCTGCACGGAATCTTAAAAAATTAGTGATTTGCTCCATGGTGGCATATTAGACTACCCAGGGAGGTTTTAAAGTATCCCATTCCTAGATAAAACTGGAGGGTGCCTGTATGCTGCCTTTTTAAAAGCTCTCTAAATGACCCTAAATATGTAACTAGAGTGCAAACCACTGGGCAAGTAAGTTGCATTTTCATCATGTTCAAGAGGAGATATTGAGACAAGCAGTCCTCACTGGGTAGGTAGGAGGTTAACATAGAGGACATTTCAAGACACATGCAACATCACAATCCTCACAGCAACCCTACAATGTAGGTAAGTAGTGCCCTTTCATAAGCAACTGGCTCAGAGAAAACACTTGAGTCGAGTCCCAGGTTCTCTGTGAGCTTTAAAGCTAAGACTCCCCTACTTACTACCAGACCATGGATTTTTCTTCTCTGGTCCTCACAGTACAGAGTATTCTCAAGCTAGTTATGGTTTGGGAAGGCTACTTCCTTATAACTGGTTTCTCCCACTTACAAAGCCAGTGGGTGCATGTATCAGCTGTCAGAAGAGGCCAAGCTCCTCCCTGGGGAGCTAAATGTAAGGAGCACGCCAGCTCCCCAACCCACAGCAAAGTTACAGCCCTTTTCTCCTACCTTCAGAACCCCAACAACTAAGCCTGCAATTTGGAAATTTTTTAAATTATACTTTTGCTAACTTCTAGGAAATTTGGAAGCCAAAGAACAGCCTAGGAGGGAATATCCTCTATTACCCAAATATAATCCTCTAGTGATAATCTATATTTTATGGTTAATTTTCTTTAAAAAAAAATATTGTATATTGTTTGTGCCTCCCCGCCCCCCATTTATGTTCCAGGAGCATCATCCTCTCATTTTTCTCCTGCAAATACTTTACTGCAAAATATTTCCATATGAATGTACCAGCTTATCTTAACCTTTCTCCAACTCTCCACTAATATTAGAAAAGAATAAAAATGTGGATCATGTTTTAAATCATAGAAAGAGTATATGACCCTTCTAAGATATTTTTAAACTGCCTTTCAGAAAAATACGAATTTGTATGTCCATCAGTAGTGATTGATCATGACACTGTAGTCAACTGGATAAAATGTAAAACTCTAGGAGGTTGAATGACCCTTTTTGGTGGAGGCAGCATACTGGGGATTGAACTCTGGAGTACCTTATCACTGAGCTACATCCCTTGTTATTTTCTTTCTTTTTTTTCTCTAAGATAGGCTCTCACTAAATTGCTCAGGCTGGCCTCTCAAACTTCCTCCAAATAAACTGGGATTATAGACACATGCCACAACATCCAACTCGTGAGCAATCCTTTCAAAATGCAAATCTGATCATGTSAAATACCCATTGCTTAGCTTTTCTTTGCATAATGTTGCCTAAAACTACAAATCTTCATTCCTGCCATTGTAAGCTTAAAGTTGCTGTGCTACTTCTGGCTGGGAACTTTTGCACCTCCTTTTTCCTCTACCATCTCATTTTTTCTCTTTGAGTAATTACTTTTTAGTTCTTAGCTGGAGTGTCATCTCCTTCAGGAGTTCTCCCAGATCACACTTATGTCCTATTACATTGGACACTTTGAACACCTCATAGCCCTCCCCTCTGTACTCGTATCAGTTATATCTGTTTATTCTTTCTTCCCACAATAGCATATAGCTCCATTAATGTAGGTGATTTTGCTTATTCTCTAGTGTGTAGCATACATCCTCTATTTAATAAATGTTTTTTATGTAGAATAACATAACCTAAACTGTGCTACTGGATGACTACTCTTTGGTATCTAATAGTTAAGACCACTGAAAGATGAAAATGTAAACAAGACAGGGAACTTTTTGGTACAAAGGAACACAAGAGAATGGTAACAAGTGAAAAAGACAAAGAATTCATTTAAGATGACTTCAATATTAAAGGTTTAATACCTCCAAGATAGTAAATAGTAGGGGTGCTATTTATAGTAAAAAAAAAAAATGGGGGCTAGAGTTGTGGCTCAGGGGTAGAGCACTTGTTTAGCATGTGTTGAGGCATTCTTGGCACTGAATATTAATAAATGTCCATGAACAACTAAAAAAATGTTTTAAAAAAATAAGTCAAAAATGGTACTGGGGGCATGACTCAATGGCAGAGCACTTACCTAGCACTGGCAAGGAAGCCCTAGATTGATCTCCAGTACAACAGAAAATAAAGGTTGGGAAGTGCAGAAAAAGGGACATAATTAGACCCAATAAACCTCCCTCCCCCATGCAAAGTGAATCACATCTTCTACTTTATTCCCTACTTATCAGTGGTTAACTCCCATGTGTTACTACATTAGTGTACATGTGAACTCAATGTACCATACCCATGGACAGGCATCGACTTTGATATCTACCAACCCTAGATTTAAATCTTGGCTCTGAATCTTAGCCTTGTAACTAGATAAATGTTAATCCTTTATGCATATCAAATCTTCTCAAAGATAATAACTAGAAATGGCTTTATTTATAGAGGTATACAAAATGAAATGTTTCACAGTGACTGGCACATACTGAAAATTCAATAAATGGATTATTAATTATACTTTTCCTTAGAACATTATGGTTAAGATCAAACYTGACAATACATATGAACATCAAAGAACTGCCACATAGTAGGTGGGCAATGTTTGATGAACTGAATGTTCACTAAGACATTCTGAACAAAAACTAATCTTAATATGCTCAGCACCAAAATCAGAGGTGGAATTAAAGACARAATATAAGCACAGGTACATGAAGTATTGAATCCATGGTAGGACTATAAAGCAATATATTCCCTTTAGACAGCAGTTTAAAATGTGTATATCTGCAATTCAACGTAACCTACCAGTATACAAAACAGGTTAAACAAATAAGTCACATAACATAAGCTTTGTTTTTAACAGCCAAAACCTACATATAAATGTCACATTAACATAAGAGCATGACAATCACTAGACAGAAGGGGCACATTTGTATGTACTGATAGTAGAATATACCATCAATATGATATATTGAGAATTTGGACAAGAATTACTCTGGCTTTTAATGATGGTATAGTTTTCTATTAAACACACACATAATTTTTCCCCCTCTACTGGGGATTGAACCTAAGGTTCTCTACCACTGATCTGTATCCTAAGCACTTTGAGACATGAGTCTCATTAAGATGCCTAGACCGACTTCAAACTGTGATCATTCTGCCTCAACATACTCAGTAGCTGGGATTGCATGTGGGTACCATGCCTGGCCTATACAGATAATTTTTTTTGTTTTTGAGGCGCGTATCGGGGATTGAAACCAGGGGCACTTAACCAGTGAGCCACATCCCCCGCCCTTTTTACAATATTTTATTTTAGAGACAGGGTCTCCCTAAGTTGCTTAGTACCTCACTAAGTTACCAAGGCTGGCTTTTACTTCGTGAGAGACTGGAGATGGAGAACAATTTAGAATATAATTCATATACTGGGGGAAAGATCCTTAAAACCTCTTTTCCTACAACCTTAAAGACATTTTTGTAAATGCACTGAAGAGTAAGAATTATACAACAAATRTGTACATAATTATTTTTAATTTTTTATGGGAAAATGACTGACCAACACTTTTTAATTCTAGGATAACAATTCCAAGATAACAATCTGAAATGGGTATAAAATTTATCTATAAATATCTTTGTATTAGGAAAAAAAAGTACTTTACTGATTTATTCATATTTGTAGAAACAAATACCCAACAGTAGAGGATTGTCTTAAGAGAACATCTAGCCAGGCGCAGTGGTACATGCCTATAATTCAAGCAGCTGGGGTGCTGAAGGAGGATCATGAGTTCAAAGCCAACCTCAATAACTTAGCAAAGTACTAAGCAATACAGGCAGACCCTGTCTCTAAATAAAATATTGTAAAAAGGTTGGGGAATGTGGCTCACTAGTTAAATACCCCTGGTTCAATTCCCAATAACAAAAAAAAAAAAAAAAAGTATATCTATATAGGCCAGGTGTGGTGCCATGGTGCCCACCTGCAATCCCAGCTACTGGGGAAGTTGAAGCAGAAGGATCACAATTTGAAGCCAGTCTGGGCATCTTGATGAGACTCTTGTCTCAAAGTGCTTAGAATATAGATCAGTGGTAGAGAACCCCTGGGTTCAACTCCCAGTAGAGAAGGAAAAAGTGTGTGTATGTGTGTGTGTGTGTTTAATAGAAAACTATATCACCATTAAAAGTCACCTTGTAGAGTAATTCTTATCAAAATTCTCAATATATCATTAACTGAAAAGGATAGGTCACAAAACAGATGCAAAATTGCTACCTTTGGCTAAGGTGATTTTTCTCCTTTTGTTTTTCAGTCTCTTTTACAAATTTACTAATAGCTTTCTAATTTCCTACAATAACTATGCAATTAGAAAAAAATTCTATTAAAATGGATGTTCATAACTAACTCTAATGCTTTAGGAGCGTGAACATTGATGTAGCTATGATGCTAGTGATTCTGATATAAATACAAGAAATTCTTCAACACATGGTTGGAAAAGGGCTATAATAAAGTAATCATTTCCCAGGAAACTTAATAAAATGGTAAAGACACTACTTTGTTTATCAAAAGAATTTATTAGAAAATATTACACACTACATATTTGTTAAAGAGTATTGTTTCGGCAGACAGCACTCCAACCTCGTACTACAATGTTTCAGACCCTGGGGCAAACACTGTGCTTCTGAAGCAACATCTTTTAGATGGAACATTCAAGCAGTACACAGTGTGGCTATTTAAAGGAAGGTAATGGAGAAAATGTGGTAATACCAGAACAACAACAAAATCACAAAACTTTTGGAATGTTAAAATAATGAATAACCACTATTAGTCTCAAAATTCTAGGCGAGATCTCTATAGCCTAAAACATCAGTCACTCTGACTCTAAGTAACAGGGACCAAGGTCCCAAAAGTCAAGACAACAATAATCTTGATTTTTAAAACACAAACAAAAAAAAGGAATCTATAACCCCATAAACTGTCTTTTATTAAGCCTATGCACATGCAAAATTAATGTGAATTTCTGAAAAAAAATAATGGGAAATGTTCAAGAAATGTGTATCTTTTAACACACAGCACACATTTTCTAATTCAATCTAAAAACATTTCAAAATTTTAAGTTTAAATTCTCATCCAGTAACATTCTTCCTTATTTTAAATGCAGTCAATTAGTGCCCCAACCAGATTTGGAACACACATGAGTTATTTTCAAGAAAGGTGGAAATACCTCATGAGAATTCCACCAAAGGTATGAGGCTTTAGCTTTTYCCCACATCACCTAAATCTTTCTTCAAAACTTCATTTCACTTGTCTGCAAAAGTCCAATGGTATAAAGCAAATTATAAAAATGTAACCCAAACCCCAAACGTCACTGAGATAAAATGCAGGGAAAGCACGCATTGCATGACTTAACCAGCTCAGGCACAACAATTTGCCACAAAATTTTCAGTGTGAACTCAGTTGCAAGATCACACTATTGTTTGACAAAGTTCTAAACTGAAACTGAGGAGGTGTGCATTGATATTTGAAACTGTCTTAATATTTTATTAGAAGAAATACTTCTAAACTTCTTTCCCCATCGTAATCTAAACACAAACTTGAATTAAAAATATATATGTAATTAAAATACTATATTACAAATGCCCAGAAATGTAGAATGAAGATCGAAAACTGCTTGGAAATATTTTTAGGATTACAATCATAACCTAGCAAAACGTATTACTAACTAGCACAATCACTATGAGGACCAACATTTCAAAATATTTTGCCTATCAAAGCTAGCACCAGGAAAGTATTATGCACAAAAAACTGAGAAACAGATCATCTTTACTTTAGAAAAACACAGTTCTACAGAGTATTGCTCTCACTAGTTTAGCTAGTAAAAGGTCTCACTAGAGGCATACATTTACCTTGGGTCCACTAACCTATTTCCCAAATATTTGGTATCTACTGAAAATTGTTACTGGAATGAAAGACAGTTTATCACAGAAAGAAGCCATTTTTTCTTTGAAGATGCCAATTAAAATAATGGCATTATAAACATTTTAAACTTACCTTTTAAAAAAAATTAACATAATCTAGTACTTTAAAAAAAGAGTTACAAAATTACTAGTCCCTGAAAGGCTAATCAAAACTCCATTGCTTCATTGCCTCTTCCTCTTCACAGATTTCAATGTTTACAATTTTGCAACATGGCTAATAGCCATTATATGATCACCTAATAAATCAACACTTCATTCACTATAAAGCATTTGAGGATTTCTTAAATGTGAAAAGAATTTTATCAGTGATTAGACAAATGAGCACAACCTGAAGCTAGCAAGTGAATTTTATAATTCTACCTTTGTCCCAAAGAAAGGGGGGGGGGGTCACCACTTAACAGCAATTCTCCAGTTGGCACAAATAATTTATCATCTCTGATGGGTAGAAGATATTATGAAGAAACATAATTTCTATAAAATCAACACTTTTTTCCAAATTGGTCTTCTAAATTCAACAAAGACTTGGAACTGCCAAAATTGTACCTAACAAATCAAACTGCTTTATCTCAACTGGAGAAGAAAAAAGGCACAAAAGAAAAACAAGCAGCATAACCTTTATTTGGTGATACAACAGATAAAAGAGTGTCTCAAAGTTTTGAACACTAAATTTTACGTATGTGATAATTTGTTTCTATCTAAGCAATTTATTCAGATATGTGCTTTAAAAATACACATTAGGAACCCTGCAATTGGTATGTTCTGTTTGATATTAGAAATATTTTTCATGGTAATACATTATTTAACTTTCTATAAGTAAGGGGGAAAGTCATAAAGATCATATTTTATTTTTTAGTCTGACAGAATAAATGTATTATATATATATCTCTTCCAAAACCAATGCACTTAGAAATTTCTAAATTATGCACTCCATTATTCTAATCAAAAAACTGTACATCTTCCAGTATCCACACTATAACACAATCCTAATAAAAATGCACATTCGTTAAACCCTTTCCTCTCCCTTGAATTTGCTTTATTTGGGTTTGGGGGTTGGATATAAGTTGCAGTGCAGAACTATATTTATTTAGAACAAAACATTATATCCTACATTAAAAAAAATAATTTTATCAAAACCAAATTTCAATCACAGTTATGTATGATTTTCAGTTAATGGTACATGTTGAAATTGCACTTTGCAGATATCTTGATAATGTCCTTTATAGCGCTCCCCATTTCAGCCTATGTTTTTTTCAGTAGACACGGGTTCCTCCAGAGTTTTCTTTTGGCTCCCCTTCCGTGAATATTTGTATTTGTCTACATAGGCTTTTACCAGATTTGCCACTTTAGTAGAATTTACTTCTCCACTCTTACTATGACAAACCTAAGAGAAAAGGGGGGGAAAACTTTTTTCATGCTTAAAGGGATTAAAGCAAAATGGAAAGTTTTGTGAAAATAAATAACCCCCAAAGAGATAGAATTTTCATGTTGCATCTCTCACATGAACTTATTCTAAAGGTAAAAAAGCAGCCAAGAATTAGTAGGAGCTAGCTTTTATTAATTAAATTTAAACATTCCTCTATTAAAATAGAGGTGGTTCAAAACAGTATGCCCAGAACATCACTAAAGCTATAACTTACTTTATCTACTGCTTTCCGTACAATCTCTTTATATTCTTCCTTGGTGATATCTTTATTTTGGTAAAATGGTTTAATAGCCAATTTTACCTCTTGTGCTGCTTTTTCTTGAATTTGCAATTTCTGATGAGAAGAAAATGTATAATTATTAGCTACCAATCACATACTTTCAAAAATTTCTTTAAAAACATAAAAATGAAAACACAGCACACCAACATTTTTACAAAAAAATTCTTAAAATATTAGTATGACAAATACAAAACAGTAAATAACATGTGTCAAATATTGATAAAAATAATTATGTAATATTACCAGTAATTCACTGAGCATCAACATATCTAGATAGAACCCTTTAAATAATAATGGAATTTAAGACTATTAATAATAATTTCCCTTCACCACTGTACAACAGAAAACTGATATTTTTTTCATCTTTATCATATATAGAATTATGTAGGTTGCTCTCAACTTTGAACTTGCCTTGTCTGTCTTCGAGCTATCTGCGCTGGCTTCCACTGTAACACTTACTTTGCTTTCTGCCAATTTTACAGCAGCATTAGAGGCTTTGCTGTGACTTGATGACGAAGTATTACCAGAACTTGGTCCCTGAACTGTTCCCATATTTCCTGGGGCTGCTGTCGGAGCAGGCAAGACTGGTGTACTCATGTTATTACCTACATGAGAAGCACTAGGAATACCCTGTTTTAAAGAGTTATCATGAGTTAATGGATTACTTATAGTCRAAAGAAGTCTATTAGTCATGTATTAGAAATAACATTAAAAAACACAAAAATGATTCAACCTTAGTACTTAAACACAAAGATTCAAAATATGAGAAATGCATATTTCAGATCATTTATATATACAGAGCTATTTCAAGAAAAATGAATAACATTTTTAAATGGTGCCTTATTTAAATATGTCAAGATGACTTTTAAATTATATGTGTATTACAATGTTCTCACAGCAACATAAATAAGGAGAAAAACGGCATTTAAAGAGGTGTATCTTTCTGCAAGACTCTTTAGAAATATTAAAGTAAATGCCCCTACTTAAGGACTGAAGAAAATGAGACACTGATGTTAAATGGCCTGAAGTGTGAGTTCACAGAAAATGATAATAAGAAACCAAATCTAAAATCTCATTTACCTACTCTTCCAACAAAATCTTATTGTCATGATTCTAGAATTTCTAAGGTAGATATAAAACTATAAGCAACACAATCCAAAATTATTCAGATTTTTCTCTCACAAAGGTATTTCTTCCTTTTTAGCATGGTGAATTCATGAAAATGAAACATAGATGATAATTGGTAATGAATAGCTTTATCTAGCATTTGTCCAAGCATCATAATACAAGCCTGATCACAGTAATCACTAATTTCCACCACCCAGTACCAAAAATTCAATTAAAATAGGGAAACATTTTAAAGCACCTTTTACTCTATTCTAGTTTGACTCATAATTTGGTCTCATTTCCCACCTCTTGGCAGTACTAGAAATTGAATCTAGGGCTTTGTGCATGCTAGGCAAGCACTACCAYTGAGATATACCCCAAACTTGCAATCCTCCTGCCTAGGCCTCCTGAATAATGGAATTACAAGCATACACCACCACAACTGGCATTATTTGTCTTCTTAATCTGACAAAGACCCTATTGGATATAAATAATGGCATACATGTAGCTTGCATGTTCAATTAATTTTCCTACTTGGGGACTGGTGGCAGAAGTGTTGAAAAGGAAAATAAAAAARGGGATTATGAAGGTTCACCAGAAATAAACAATTGTTTCTAAATGCCAAGAAGCCCTTCCTTAAATATTTGCCCTCAAGAGCTAAAATATTTATAATGTTGATATATATATAATATTTATGTTGATTAAATTTGAGCTCCTAAGAACATACCTGCAGCTGCTTTCCATCTGGCTGTGAAGCAATGTAGCTGACTTGTTGAGATGGAGGGGGAGGGGGTGGTGGTGGTGGCAGTCCCTGAGTTACACTGGTAGGAGCAGCTACTTGCATGAGAGGCACTCCTGTGTGGAGATGCAAGGGTAGCTGGGGATGAATGTTAAATGGATTGCGTTGGATGTTCATCAAAGGGGCATGAACACCCATTGGATATGGGAAGATATTCATAGGCTGGTGTGCACTCATTTGTTGTTGCATTACGTTCATTTGTGGTTGCATCATATTTATAGGTAGCTGAGAACCATCAACTTCTTGATTTGTTTGGTCTTTTAGGTTAGAATCTATCAAAAGAAAAAAGAACTTGTGAAAAAAAAAAGTTACAAATCTTCAAACAGAGAAGCAAAGAACCAACGATTATAGTAAAATTAAGTAGCAAAAGACTCAAGTATACCAAAACTAATATCTAATTATTTAATCCTGTCATATCTAAAATAATGGAGAATGGTTTTCTAATTAAAAGAAAATGTCGAAAACATAAGTTCACATGATAACATACATCAACAGCAACAAAGAATCAGTAATTCAAGAAGCTTAGTAGTTAAAAAACGTTATATAAAAATTGATTACTAAATTACAAGTAAGATCAATTTTTAATATTTTGAACTGTTTTTTTCTTTCATGTCCATCACAAGGAAAGATAAGAATTAGAAGAATGACTTATTTGTATGAGAATAATGATCAATAAAAATTCAAGTGTGCACATTTGAAACAAACGTTAATAGAAGTTAATTTCCAAACCTTCTATGTAGTAAACAGTACATAAATATTTAAGACACTAGCAAACAGCAAAATTTGGAGACTATGTGGGGTTTAAAAATAAATACTGACATATATTATGTGTATGTTTATATGTATATATACATATATACATATGTAATGCAAAGTGATTTATAAACTAGGGTTCAGCTTAACATTATAAAAACTATAAATAAAGATCATTTCAATTCATACCAGTATTACATTTATAACCTTTTTCTTCAAGTAAAATACTATCAACAAGTAAACAATATGTTACCCTGTTCAGTTGTTTCCTCTTCTTGTCTCATCCATCCAGACTGTGGACCTGAAGAATTCCTCCCTCGTCGTGAATAATAGTTTTGTACATCTGCTGGCAGAGTCTTTCTCACAGCCCAACTAGATGCAGATGTCCACCCTGATCTATCAGCTGGTGTATCAAATGAGAACTCTTGTTCATTTTTCCGCTTATAGGGTGGCTGTTCCATGTACTTGAAAGAATCATTCCCTGAACTATTTGAATTCCCTGAGAGGGGTTTTCGGTTTTGCCACCTATTTTCATTCTGATCTGTGTAGGCAAAACTACCTCTGTAAGTGCCTCTGCCACGGTTACCTCTACCACGGTTAGACATCCAACCTGAACCAAAGTTTTTATTCCAAGAATTCCCTGAATTTTCATTTCTATTTTCTTCCCAGTGGGAATCTTTCAATTTTTCTGAATTTCTGGTCCTTGGATCAGGCCCAGAATTAATTTTTTCGGTTACCCAACTGGGACAGTCATTTCTATGTTTGTCAGAATTTGGATCATCAGCATCTGAACTGATATCACTTTTTTCTTTTCTAGTATTTTCATTCTGCTTCTCTGGGTCATTCCTTCTGTACCGATCATTTCCTCGTGGACATTTCCAACCATCATTTGTCCACCTTTCCTTCCACCGGGGAGAGTAGCTATCTCTTTCATTTCTACCAAATGATGAACTTTTACTTTTTGTTCTAGACCGTAATGGTGACCTAGAACGAGATCTGGACCTGGACCACCGTCTAGTTCTTCTTTCTCTATCACGATCTCTCCTCTGTCCATCTCTATCATTTTCTCTTTCTCTGCTCCGGGACCTCGATTTTTCTCTTGAGGAAGAATCTTTCACTCTTGACTGTGATCTTTGGTTCTCTCTAGAAATATCTCTTTTGGGGGACAGTGATTCAGATCTTCTGCCTTCCCTGGCACTATCTCTTTTTGGAGACCGAGACTGAGAATGCCTCCTTTCTTTTGTCATATCCTTTTTAGGGGACTGAGAACGAGATTTTTTCCGTCCTCTACCAGATTCTTTCTTAGGAGATGGTGATCGAGACTTCCTGCTTTCTTTTCCAGTATCTCTTTTGGGAGATGGAGACTGAGACCGCTTTTTTTCTTGTGTAGAGTCTTTGTTAGGAGACCAAGTAGTAGATGGAGAATGAAATCGTGATCTCCGAGTACGAGGCTTTTTGGCTTTATCTGTTTTATCTAATGAGCTTTCAGATGGCTGAGATCCAGTTTCAACCTTTTCATTAACAGGATCTGAAGACGGCATATTTTCAGAAGAGTGTGCCACAGAAGTTTCATTTAATTGTTTAGTATCAGCATTTACAGATGATTCAATTTCAGATTCATTTTGATCACTACAAAATGAATCACACTCCATGGGTATCATTTCATTATCATCCTCACCGAAATGTTTCTGGGTCAGTTCTATGTGTGTGTTGGGCAATTCTGGAGATGTAGGATGTTCAACAAGAGATTCAGTATTTTCTTCTAAAGATTTGTCTGATTTGGTGTTAACGTCATTTTTTAATAAATTATTTTCAGAGTCTTTAATACTACCTGAATTTTCATTTTGTGAAGTATCACATGTTGCAGCTATTACTGCATCACCAGTTTCAACATGCCTGAGTAACTGAATCTCTGTGCTCTCAAAAGATTTGCTGTCTGCTGTTTGTATAATTTCACCATCAGAAGATTCTAACTTTGGGTTCACTACAATCTCTTCTGTTTTTACTGAATAATCATTATGATCAATAATTACTACTACAGGACTTTCTACTATGCCTTTATTAACCACTGACTCTGCATTCTCAAGTTTCTCATCTAGATGGAGACTAGACACAGATTGGTGTATTTCAGTTTCAGATCTTGAACATTTAAGAAAATCATTTGGAGAATGATCTGAACCTACAACTACTTTTACCTCTGATTCTGAAGATTCAGATAYCTGGTCTTGATTTTCCAAAGGATCACTTCCTTTTTCAAAAATATCTTTAGAAAGCTCACTTTCTAAACACAAAACTTTACCTTCTATACCTGAACTCTCAAGTTTATTTTCTTTCTCCTCTCCAACTAGCACAGGAAGATCTTGAGTAGATTCAGAATACAAAGGTTCCTTTTCCTCTACATCATGATTCTTGCTACATTCCTCACTTTCTTTTATTTGTTCACTGTAGCTTTTCAAACAATTAGCAGACTGATTTTCTACATCTGTCTGCAAAGAACAAATGTCACTACTTTCTACATCTGATTGCTGCTCTTTCTCTAACACAGGTGGTGTGTCAGATTCTGCTGTTTCTTCCTCTACTGAATCACTAGAAGATGATTTTTCAGGGGGAGGTATAGAACTCCGGAGTTTCTTTTTCAGTATAGGTGGTTTTCTTCCTCTTCTTACAGGCTTCCGTTTTGGAGCTTGTCTTTGCTTTTCTGACTCAGCTGGAGAGGAAACACTTACAGAAGGGTTACTATTACCTGGGGCATCACACCCAGAATTACTTGATACTGGGGATCTCTGAGACTGACTGACAGTCTCAGCTCTTGTATTACGTGTAGATCTTCTTGTAGGAGTTGCTGTTGCAGGTTTTCGTCTTGATCCTCTAGTATTTGATGTGCTAGAAGTCTGCTTCTTTTCTTCTCCTTCCTGGGTATGTGTCAACGTGCATCCCTTGAAAGAAGTACCTGATAAGATAGGGAAACAATTAAAAATGTTTTTAAAATGTTGCAAAACCTGACAGTAGGTTTGGCTTAAGTTAATTTTAGTATGAGTGGGCAATACAGTGAAAAAATACTTGTGAATCAAATTATAAATAAGTGAATAGTTACTAACATCCGAGTAATGCAAGATTTCATCAGCTTTTAGTAATTCTATTGAAATAAGTTATAACTGTACTTGAATCCATGTGGGCAATTTAACATGGGGAAAAAAGTAAAATATGCTTAGTTAGATACTATTTGTTTAATGAGCTGTTATTATCTAAGCAAAAAGAAAAACTGTCAAGTTAGCAATAAGTAGACAAAGACTCAAACTGCTTCTTCACAAATAATTTATATATGCTACTTCTAAAGATCTATGGTTTAAATACTAAAGCCCTAAACAGAAAGGAGACTTCTTGTCCCTTCCCCAAAGCCTTGAAGTTGTAATTTCTAAAAACTCTAAAATAAATTTTCTAGTTGGAACCATTTTTTCTTTCCCCCAGTACTAGTCTCACCACACATGAGAGTCAAGAATTTTTCTACTGAGACACATTACTAGACCTTTTTATTTTATTTTGAGAAAAGGTCCAAGTTGCCCAGGCTGGCCTGGAACTTGCAATTCTCTTCCCTGAGTCTCCCAGAAAGCTGAGATTACAGACATGTGCCACCACACCCAGCTTGGGACAGATTTTTTTTTTTTTTAACTGACAGATAAAGATGTATGTGTACACTGTGTAGAACATTCTGAAGTATATATACACTGGGGGATGACTAAATCTAGCTAATTAACTATACATTATTTCACAGTTATTATTTTTGTGCTGAGAATACTTTGTTATCTATTCTTGGCATTTTGGAAGATTATAATATATTATTAACTATAGTCCCCTTATTATACTCAAGAGCTTTTGAATTTATTTCTCCTAACTCAAATGTTGGATCCCTTAACCAATATCTCCCGGTACCACCCCCAAGTACCACCCCAGCTCCTGGAAACCACCATTCTATTCTCAGCTTTATGAAATCAAATGTTTCAGATATCACATGAGTGAAATCACATGGTATTTGTCTTTCTGTCTCAGCTTATTTCACTTAGTATAATATCCTGCAAGTTCACCCATRTTTTTGCAAATGACAGGATTTCCTCCCTTTTTAATGGCCAAATGGTCCATTGTATGTATCTAAAGTCATGCATGCAGATATGTACATATATAGATAGTGGACATACTCACATGCATATATWCACTCTAAGTTGGAATGATTTTCAAATCAAGTCACTGTCCAATTATTAAGTAAATATCTAAAGGTATTATAACTTACTATAATTTATTTTAATTCATTGACATTCGGATACCTATGAAATTGGAAGAAGCTAATAATAATACAAACAATAATTATTTTTTAAAATACAAAAAAGTTTCACAAACTTTACCAAAATTTTCTAAAGATACGGTACTTGTTGGAAAAATAGTTCGTGGCAACACAGAAGAAATGAGAGGAAGAACTTCTGTTTCAATATCCCAAGGTATAAAACCAATTCTGAAAATTCAAAACAAAATAGATATTTGTGTTTAAATTCTTTATAAAATTAGACCAGTAATCAAAAACTATTAGTTCTCCAAATCTGGTTAGCAATACTAAAATAAACTTTTTTGCCCAAGTAACTAAAAATCTAACTTCGAGATTATTCATTGCCCAAAGTTGGCCACCAACTGGCTACAAAGAAAAAACATTGAAAAAGCACATTTGCATATTTTTTCTGTTAAATGAATGTAAAGAGATGAAAGCAACTTAGTACAATCAGATAATTTYCTTGCAAATAATACTGTCAATATTTTTTCCATATTTTTATTGGCACATTATAGTTGTACATAATGGTGGAATTGCGTGTTACACATATTCATACATGCAGAAAATAAAATTTGGCCAATATCATTTCCAAGAATTTTCCMGTTCCCTCCCCTTTTACCTCTCCTGTTCCCTTTCCTCTACTCTATTGATCTCCCTTTGATTTCCCTGAGATATCCTTCACCTCCAACTTTCTTTTCTTCCTCTCTAGCTTCCACATTTGAGAGAAAACATATGACCCCTGACCTTCTGAGTTTGGCTTATTTCTCTTAACATAATGGTTCTATCCATGTTCCTGCAAATGACAATTTYATTTTTCTTTATGGCTCAATAAAACTCCATTGTATACCCCATTTTCTTTATCCACTCATCTGTTTATGGACACATAGGCATTTTCATAATTTGACTATTGTGAATTGTATTTGTCAAGATTTTGTTTCAGTTTTTGTTTTTCTAGTCTACTCTGCACATAAACTTGGAAGTATATCAACATAAAATAAGATGCATAGATTTTTTTTCTTTTTGGTACCAGGGATTGAACTCAGGTGCACTTCAGCCACATCCCTACCCCTATTTTGTATTTTTATTTATTTAGAGACAGAGACTCATTGAGTCCCATAGTTATCTCCCCATTGCTGAGGCTAGCTTTGAACTCTTCCTCCTGTCTCAGCCTCGATTACAGGCGTGTGCCACCACATCCAGCTAGATGTACAGATCCTAAGTATAGAGTTTGGTGACTTTCTCCCAAAGTATCTGTATAACCACGAGCCCAATCAAGAAACAAAACATTTCGATCTCTCCAGAAAGTTCCTTCAAGTTCCTCTGCACCATTCTTCCTCTTCCAGACAACTAGTGAATTAAATTTCATTGCTCTATTATAAATCCTTAATGTAAGGATGATGTCTCTTCAAAGTTCTCATTCTCAGTATCCCTATCAACCAGTGAAGACCTTCCCCTCCCCCAATTTTCTTAATTTAAATCCAATCTACTTCTCAAGCTCCTTTTTCTTACTCATATATATTTAATTTAGTTCTAACAAAAGACTATCTTACTCATTATTAGTTGACATTCTGAAGAGGAAAAAAACTAGAAAAACAATATGTAACTTGCATATGTACAAAAACATATAACTGTAAGGAAAGGTTTCAAAGTATACATATTTGAACTTCCTAATTTTACTTCTATTTGCATGCCATCATCATTCCTGGAGGGAAAAAGTCCTATACAGACCTATCTTACAGTGACAGATAAAATAAAGTCACAATGTTATAGGGAATAAGTATGATTTATTTTTTAGGGAATAAATATAAAACTCAGGCAGAGCCCTTAAACTGTAGGTGGGAGCTTGGTTTATGTATATAGCATGTGGAACTATACTAGTAGCTCCACAACTAAAACTAAAAACAATGAACTAGATTACAGAAAGTCATTAATGCCAGAATAGACTAGACACTTGATTAAATAGTTATTTAGAACATTTTTGAGAATGAAATATATTTAAACAATTCAGCAAACTAATGGTAAGACTGAAATGGTGAAAGAATAGAGGAAGGATGACAAATCTAAATGTTTTTATTATTAATAAATCTTACTAGTCTGATCCTGTTCTCCTTTAAGTGAAGCGAGCATATAAATATATAACTTATTACTTCCCAAAGGGTCCATTAAATTATATATTCATTTGGCATTTTAAATACCTGTTTAACTTACACAAAATTTCCTCAGGAAAATAACTATCAAATAAAGCTCTCTTAAATTTTAATGATAACTTGTGTGCATGTTAGCATTATAAACACTTGAGTAAACATCTTTTTTTACCTTCCAATTCCAGGCAGTGCATCAGGAAACCATGACAATTCCAGTTCCTGTCTCTTCTGCCTAATCAATGCACTGATTTCACTGACTTCTATAAATTCTGTACTAAAAGATAAATTTAGATCTTCATCAGAATTCCAAAAATAAAAATTTGGAGTAACAATCGATTATCCCAAGAATACCAGTAGTTTTTATACCAAGCATTATGGATCATACTTATAAGCATAAAAATTATTTTCCTATTATAACACTTTCAAAATAAACTCACTCCTGGGGCTGGGGCTGTAGCTCAATGGTAGAGCATTTGCCTAGCATGTGTGAGGCACTGAGTTCAATCCTCAGCACCACATAAAAATAAATAAAATGATAGTCCATCTACAACTAAAAAATATGTATATTAAAAATAAATAAATAAACTCATTCCTAAAATAAGAAAGAAACTTTTTTTTTTTTTTAACTGTGGACTGAACCAGGGGCACTTTACCATTGAGCTACATCCCCAACACTTTTTTATTTTGGGACAGGGGCTTGCTAAATTGCCCAAGTTAGTCTCAAACTTACGGTCGTCTTGCTTCATCCTCCTGAGTCTCTGGGATTAACAGGCATACACCACCCACAACTGGCAGTAAGTAATATTTACATATTATAAATCAAAATTATATTTAATTGAATCCTAAAAGCGATGCTGTAATGCTTAAGCTGCACAGTTTTTGTTTTTGTACTAGGGACTGAACCTGAACTCAGGGATGCTTCTGAGTTACATCTCTATTATTTTTTTGACACAGTGTCTCACTAAATTCTTTAGGGCTTTGCTAATATGCTGAGGATGGCTTCAAACTTTCGATTCTCCTGCCTCAGGCTCCCAAGTCACTGAGATTAAAGTGTGCGCCACCACACCCAGCAAGGTACAGACTTCTTGAAGTGTTAATTCAGCCTAATAACCCCAGTAATGAGAGAAATTCTAGGTATTGTACTTTCCCACTTTAAGTACACAACAAAAGAAAATAAAGGAGGTTATAATTACTATAAACAAAAATGGGTAATAGTTTGGCTTTTGGAAAGACTACTCAGATCAATTGCTTCTGTGACACTTTGTCAAGGTCTAAAATTAAATCATACAATCTCACCTTGTTGGTTTAACTGATTGTATATGATTTTAAAACCCCAATTTAATCTTCAAATTACATAAATATCTTTTGAGCATCTACATACCAGTCACTATGGATTCAAAGATGACAACTTCTCTAAAGAGTTCCACTTCATTAGGTACTATTCCCACAACGTAACAAATACCTTATAGGTTTCCCCATCATTTAACGTGATTGTATAGAACAACATCTTATTAATGATAACAAAGTCCACAGACATACACAGGCATTGCATAAAGAACAGCTCACAAAAATATCAAGTTTTCTCTTTGTTAGAGCCAGTTTGGTAAAAGAAACAAACAACAAGGTGAGCCTTCATAATCCGTATTGAGCCCAGAGTTAAATTCCCACCAAGTTCATTATAATGATTAAAACATCAACTAGAAACAGCACAGATTAAAAGAAGAAAATACTAACCAGTAAGCTCTATAGGTAAAAGAAGATTCTCCAGTGGGACTACTAGAAGAAAACATATTGGAGAAAAAATTTCTGTAGCAATGACTGGCACACTGATTTGATCTTCGAGGCTAGAAATGTAAAAGGTAGTTAGTCAAACAGGAAACAAAACTACTTGCATAATAAGTACTTAACAGTCAACATAAAATATTTTTACACCTGAGACATTAGAGTTACACAGTATATAACCATAAAGTGTTATTATCTAAGAAAAACTTTGTTTTGTGGTGGGGGACACCAGGGATTGAACCAAAGGGCACTTAACCACTGAGCCACATCCCCAGCCCTTTTCATTTTTATTTTGAGACAATGTCTTACTAAGTTGCTTGGGGCCTCCCTAAGTTGCTGAGGCTGACCTTAGCCTTCCTGCCTCAGCCTCCAGAGTTGTTGAGATTGCAGGAGTGCACCACCACACCCAGAAAAAAAWTTTTTTTTATTTCAACAAACCTTATTTATCTTTATTGCTGCATTTTTCTTTCCTCTCACTTTACTGTATGGAGAGATTCCTGTACAAAAACACAAAAGGACTTAGTTACTTAATCCTGTTTTTATCCCACCCTCTTCCCAACCCCCATAATAGGGACTGAATCCAGAGCTCTGCACATGGTAGGCAAACMCGAAGCTAGATCCTCAGTTCTTTTTAAGACAGGTTCTGGCTGTGACCCATGCTGACTTTGAGATGTGTGATCCATTTGCCTCAGTCTACCAATAATCTCTTATCTTGTTAAGTCAAGATAAGAAAATATAAAAGATCACAATAAAGAAAACTGCTGGGCTGAGGTTGTGACTCAGAGCTCTCGCTTAGCATGCATGAGGCACTGGGTTTGATCCTCAGCACCACATAAAAATAAAATATTGTGTTTACCTATAGCTAAAAAATAAATATTTTTTTTTAAAAATGCTATACTCAGAGTATATGGCTATTAAAATTCTAATTGACATATCCTGCCCTGTGCAAAATTTCATCTTATAACAAAAGATATATATTGAGATTGCAGGAACACACCACTACGCCCAGTCAAACTATTAATAACAATAATACACTCAATATTTATTTTCCAGTTATTACCTAAAAAATAGTACTGGTGAGCTTATCTCAAGTAGGAGCTGACCAGAGGAAACTGAGGCCATTTCAGGTCAACCTTTAATTACATTTAGCCACTGATAAAGGATTCAAGTAAGTGTTTCCCTTTTTACTCAAACTTTAAAGAGAAAACCATGATGTTAACTGAAATAGTTTTGTTTAGCAGTGTTGTTGGCTTCATTGTTTATGGCTTATTTTTTGCTGGATATTAATTTCTCTCTTTTGGTACCAGAGATTGAACTCAGGGACACTAAACCACTGATTCACATCCCCAGTTCTTTTTATTTTTTATTTTGAGATAGTATCTCACCGAGTTGCTTAGGCTAGCTTTGAATTCATGATACTCCTGCCTTAGCCTCCCAAGCCACTGGGATTATAGGTGTGTGCCACTACAACCAACTCTAGATATTAATTTCTACAAGTACTTCCACATTAAGAAAGACAAAGGAAAGATTCAATTAACCACAAAATTATATTAACATTTTTATAAATTACTGTTCTTTACCAACAAGCATCTGTTATTAGTCATCTAATATATTTATGGTCTACAATAAACTGCTGCAGATATGTCACTGCTATCCCTCAGAATTCTGAGGAAAGCCTACAGTGCAAACACCAATTGTCTTTTAGTCTTCAGTCCTATTTCACAAAGGATCTATTGACGTTTTCTCTTAAGATCATATGTATTTTTCAGTTTTCTTGTTAGTCCAGTTAGTAAGAGCCTAACAGCATTCTAATTTCCTTTTAAGTTACTATTCAACAGCTGTTTGGTTTAGAGCTATTATCCATCCTTCACACACATCCCACCCACAACTGCTGTTAACAAATATAGTGTATACTCTGGGCAAGGGAGCTGGCTGCATTTCAGGATACAAATGCTAYTGTACCATCTGATGTATATCTAAAAGATGATACAAAGGTTTTTATAAAGTTCCTTAAGAAGCCAGGAGTAAAAAAATGTATCCAGTTACATTCTTAGGAAACAATCATTTTTGTTCAGCTATATACAGAATTGTTGTTCTCTAGTTATGCAGTATCATTTATGCCCTAAGAGTGATGAGTTGTTTTGATTCACTCAAAACTTAATGAATATATATTGTTTACATAGCATTCTTTCACTTGGAAACTTATCCAATGAAGCTGCTATTAAATTAAATGCTCTCTATGGAAAGAATGTTTAGTTTGGAGCCAATATTAAGAACTAAGCAGCTCCAAGCACAATCTCCAAAGCATTCATTACTACTGAATTTCTACAAATTATGGTTGCTTAGAAATCATTTCACAAATCTACCCTAAATCTAAAACTAAATCTAAAGTCACGTCACTGCCTTTACACAGTAATGTGCCTTTTAATTTTTATGAAAAATAAGGGAGTAAAACAGCACTTTAAAGAAAAACTGCAGAATTACCCACTCTTTATTTCTGCTTACCAAGAGCACTCATCAAATCCTTTGCCTGCTTCTTCTAATATTCACTTCTACTTCTAAATAACAACCTTATAGTATTCTACTTTGATTATTCTGTTTGACATATTTCCTATTATTTTAATTGYGAAAGAGAAAAACTTTTTTTATCTTTATAATACTGCATATACTCCTCTAGCTTATCCCCTTTGCTGCCTTCACTGTCCATATACCATCTTATTTGATATGTCAATATATCAACATTTGATGTAGCAGTATTATATTATTATAACTTACAAACATTAATCACAGCTGAACCACGAGTTTTCCCTGAGGTTAATAATTGTTGTTTTTTGCTTTACTTTTTTTTTTCTATATTACCTACCATTAATTCAGCTAACTCCACGACAAAAGTATAAATCTCTTAATAGATTCAAACACATCAACTCATCCATCACTTTTGTTTCCCAACTCTCTTGGAAATACTCTTCCTTATTCCTGATCCAGTCAGAACTTGAAACTCTCAAAGCTGCTGTTCAACAGTCATTCTGGACTGTCCTCTGACATTGTGATCAGCTGCTTTTTCCTGGGTTGGAATTCATTTTCTGAATCTCACATTGTTCCTTCATTTATTTTCTCAGTTAAGTATATACACCCTCCAAAGAATTGAGAAAGGGTGCATAAGAATTAATTTTTGAGCTCTTAATGTGTTTGAGAATGTCTTTATTCTTATTTTGTCCTAACAATTGAGAGTTTGGCAGGCATAATGGAACTTTCTAGGTTACTGATTATTTTCCCCATAACTTTCAAGGCACTACTCCACTGCTCCAATTGTTTTTCACATTCTTACCCCTGGCCTTCTGTATGTGGCCTGTTTTTGCCCCCTTTAGACTCTTAGGATCCTGTTATCCTCAGACTTCTTGAATTTTATAAAGCATTTACTGTAGTTCTTTCCTCATTTACTAGGTATCATATGATTTATTTTTATCTGGACACCCAACTTTCTTTCCAATTTTTCTTTCTGTAATTCCCTTCTCAGATTTTATTATTCAGTATTTTATCTCTTAGATAAATACTCTATTATCTCTTTGGCTTTTGGTCCTACTTTCTGAGACTTCCCCATTACTCCTGTTGAAATTTTAAATTTCCATTACAATATTTTTACTTTCTAAAAGCTTTTTTAAAAATTATTTTCTTTTATATCACTCATAAAATATCCCTTCTTTATCTCTAAGTAGATTCACTTTTTAAAGTTTTTCCTATTTCCCAGCATGGATTCTAGCCCATTAGGTTCCTTTTGTCCCTGTTTTTATTTCTATTATATTGACTTCCTTCACATATCTATGATCATCAATTGTTTGTGGGACACTAAAATAGTAATTGAAAATGGTGTCGGTGGGGGTGGGAGGCAGTCAGAGACTTTCAGCCAATGAGTTTCATTGTAGGATGATCAAGCAGATATCCAGTTAAGCCTTTGGGGCAAGTCAGTATCCCAGAAGATGCTGATCTGCTATTTTGGGGAATAATTGTCAGTGCTCTGGAAGTCTCCCGACTTGATTTAATTTCCCTTTTTATTGTTTCTTCTATCTTCAACTGTGCTGAAGTTTAATCTAATTCAATCTTCGCTACAGAATTCAATCCTTCAATTTTGGGGTAGTTCCATTCCTCTACCTTGCTCAGACAACAATCTGAAGAATAAACTGCCCTTCTAAAACCTGTRAAAGCATCAGGGCACAGTAGTGCACTCCTGTAATCCCAGCAACTTGGAAAGATAAGGCAGGAGGATCACAAGTTCAAAACTACCCTTAAAAAAAAAAAAGGTCGGGGATGTAGCGCAATGGTAAATCCCCCTCCCCCACAAAAAAAAAAAAAAAAAACCAGAAAAATGTTAACCAATTCTGGTTTTGGGCCCCATCCCGCATCTCTGCTTTCAGAGATAATGGAGACCTCCAAACCTCAGACTTCTAAGTTTCTGCGGAATGTGAACTGACATGATTCTTAACTCCACTTTTCCTATGAAAGGTTTGGGTTTCTGCTAAAACAGTTTGCCATGCTCCTGGTAAATCAATTTCAAGCTTCTTTTGAGGACACCTCTTAAGTGCTGCCTCCTCTCTCTCTCGAGTTCTCTTGTCTTTGTAAATTAAAATTTTTCTTATTCCATTATTGTCGTTTTAGTAAAGTACTGGGAGGGATCAGAGGATTAAATAGCTATGCTTACCTGGAAGTTTGTCTTATTTAATTCAGTATATTTTCAAACACATTTCATGAAACTACTAATTCCAAAAGATGTTTCATAATAATACCCTTTTTATAAAGTATAAACCAATATTATAAAGGCTCTGAGCTAAAAGCCCAGGACTTAGCAGGCACTCAATTAAAATTATAATTAATATTTCCAAAGTTGATAAAGACATAACTAAATAGATCTAGCATGTACTTAGAGAATTACTACATCAAGAAATGCATAACAGGAGGACATTTTTGTAGACTATCAATTATAAATAATTAACCCAAATCAAATTTAATATTCATTTCAATAAAAAAAGAGTTGAACATCTCTAATCAAAAAATTCAGAATCTAAAACTTTTTGCATGCTGATATTGATGCTCAAAAAGTTTCAATTTTTGGAATATTTAAGATTTTGTTATCCTGGCATTAGAAATGTTCACCCAATTAAGTCTATGCAGACATTCCAAAATTCCCAAACTCTAATAAAATCTGAAACAGTTCTGGTCCCAACATTTCAGATAACGGCCACTCAACCTTTATAAATGTTAGATGCAAAAGAAGTATAAGTCTGCTGTTTGGTATAATGAAAAAATGAAAAAGACATTATTAATAAATCCACCAACAGGTTTGCCATGTAATCTTTCACAAAAACTCTACTGAGGCACAGTAACATCTTTGTTATATGAGGAAACTAAATGAAAGTTTGTAATTTTACTAGAGTCCTGGGTACTTTAATGAAAAATCTAGTATAAAACTAAAGTTGATTGACTTCCAATAAAATCATGCATT